CAGGTAAAGTACGTCAGTACCGCTCAAGAAAAGGAGGCCGTGATGACGTGGCAGCAGAAGCAAAAGGGACGTGCTTGTTTTTCTGATCCGTTGCATTTCTTTTAGAGAAAGCTTAAACGAGATAGTGAACGCCAAACGATAGACGAATAGATGCCATGTGACTTTTTAAATCGATTTAGGTTGCGCAAGTCACTTAACATTTGGGAAGTCTACTGATTGCAGTGATGGTCCTCGGAACCCATTTGACCTAACTTGTGCCATTGGTTTTAAAATATACTTATGAGGTCTTTTCAGAACCTTCGACCACGTTTTCAAAGAGCAGCCTGACTTGTCCTTGCGCCAGAAAGATATTAGGCAGCTTTGCCGATACGATGACAAGCAAAGCGGTTCTTTTCGTATGTTTGGGTAATTCTTTACGCGTTTACTGATAAGTGACTTAATTTCGGTTTAGGGAACATCTGCAGATCGCCGATGGCTGAGGCCGTGTTCAAAGATCTGCTAAAGAAAAGGAACATTTTGGAAAAAGTAAGACTTCGTTATATTTCAAATATTTTATCCTTTCATTATCTTATAATAGACAGTATTTTAACCGTTTTTATTTCAATGGCAAGTTAATGATGTTAAGAGGTCGAATACCTATGTTTCATTACGTATTTGTTTCGCGTACCTCCATCATGCTGTTCGTTGGTGGTGGTTCTTCGACGCTGGTATTGCTGCTCGTCTAGATTGTTAGTAAGCTTTTCGGTGCATCTAACACATCCACACATGAACAGCGGTAATAACGTCGTACAATGAGAAAAACCATTAATAAATGTCCTGAAGAAGTTATGTAAAATAAATAAGCGCTGAAACTTCATTATCTGACTATCCTTCGATATCCATTTACGTTGCGTTCTCAGAGGAACGGCGACATCGTTGTGTAAGTCTGGGCAATGAATAGACCGTTTATTAACGTTTATGCTTTGTTTCGGTATTGGTTTGTTTCAGTGCATAGGTGAGATATCTTGGCCGCGCGATGACCGTAGATATTTTGACTGGTAATAAGTACCATCCTCTGATCAGAGAAATGACAACATGTGGATCAGATTGTTGCAGAGCTATTTCGCTCGACTTTCTGTGTCACTACCACGCTAGCGTCAAGAAGGTTTCTAATCAGTTTCGATGGCCGCTTATTCTTTCGTGAAAGCGGACACATCAGACTGTTTCTTACATTGGTGATTTTGCGCCACTGTCTGAGCTTCGGCAGTAAAGTTTATCGAAACATTTGCCTCGGGTCGTTATTGTAGTAGTATGTACTAAGCACGTAATGCAGATGTGCTTTGCATATAAGCCCTGTTGTAATTCACATCCGAAGTGTATGCCAAAAGTTGTTTGAACTGTATTGCGTATTCGGCGTACTATTATAGTATATTTTGTGGCGAATGTTAGCCACTATTTTACCACACCTACACAAATTAATATAATAGTATATATGCGCCATGTAGTGTAGCTCTGCGGTGTATGCAGGTATTGCTATTGGATATTTTTTGTGTAATTTTATACTACTATAAGATGCACATAAACTACTGAAATGCATGGTGCGTATGTAGTATTTTTGTAGCATATTTACAGGTTAGGTCATATTTGCAATATTGATAAGATTATTCTGTTGTGTCGTTATGCTGTGAATGCACTTCTGCTATACTACGAAGCACAGTGTTACACGGCTCTATTACATGTTCAGTATATACTACTAATATACAGCACATTTTGTGCATAACTCGTCCAAAATTCCAATATCAGTTTTAATGGCATATTGCATTGTCGCTTCCTCTTACTTGCCAAAAGTCATTTAAACAGACC